CCTTGTATTAGAGAAGGAGCCATTCTGTGTTCTAAAACACCCAGAGAGCTGTGATGAGCACGCAGCCATTTAGAAATTACGGTCTCCTGCCAATAACCAGCAATGGATAGAGGACTACTGACTGCAGGCCCGAGTCAGCAAATCTCCTCGCCTTCTTAACAGGCCTCTGCCCTGTAAACCCTGCTCCTCTTCCAGGCTGCCTTGTCTAAGGAGGTCTAGCAGCTTCGCAAAGTTACAGAAGCCGCTTTTCCCAGTGCTGCACATGGCAAAGTGGCTCTTTGTCCAGGCACTGTGGTGTCATTTCAAACAGCAAACCACCAAGCTCTGAAATTTCCTAGATAGAATGTGCCTGCGAAAGCTTCTGGTGACTATAGGCAGAAGCAGAATGCTGAGCAGATATTCAGCCGCTCTGCTAGGGCTGGCTTTTAAGTAGGGGATGAAAAGTGCCATCAGGCAGGTGTGCTCCAGCCCTTCCTTGCCCAAGTGATGGTTACGGCAGGGGTTTTGATGTACAAAACGCGAGAGAACCTGAAGTCCCAAAGTCTGTATAGCCTGATCACAGACAGCAAAGAGCAAGGGAGAAAAGGACGGGAGATGGTAGGGTAAAATATCAAAGAACACAGGACCCGTGGAAAAACACGCAGGAAAAGGACGGGAGATGGTAGGGTAAAATATCAAAGAACACAGGACCCGTGGAAAAACACGCAGGAAAAGATGCGTCAGAAGCTGCATCAAAGCCACAGTGAATACAGCAGGGACACAGTGTTCATGAAAGGGAGGCGCAGTCTCACTAAGAGACCTGTGGGGACAGCGGCAGAGGAGGGTTCACAGCCATCACAGCTGGGGGTGTGGCCCTACAGAGAGTAATGACAGGCACGAGCGGCTTCTTAAACACGCGCCCCTATTCTGCAAGAAGTGTGCACCTTTAATGGCAGAGCTTGTGAGGCAGAGGCCCCGTGGATCTCTGAGTTCAAGGCCAGCCTGGTTTATAGAGTTTTAGGACAACCAAGGCCACACAGGTGGACCCTGTCTTAAAACAAAAACAAAAACAAGCAAAAAACCAAAGCAAAAAGCATTCTGTAACATTTCTATGGTGCCAAAATCAAATCTTAAGTTTGGCTAGGAGAACCTAAGAGGACACAGAGATGACTAAGAGTGAGGCAGATAATGACGTGAGGGACCATGTGAGGCCTCGGCACCTGTGTAGGGTCCTATCCCCCAACCCTGCATCTCGGATCATGGAGAAACATCTCACACCTGTGTAGGGTCCTATCCCCCAACCCTGCATCTCGGATCATGGAGAAACATCTCACACCTGTGCGACCTGATTATTAAATAATATACTTCAGTTCATGTATTTAACAGATTTAAAACTGAAACAGGAACGTAGTGCATGTCTGTAACCCTGGCACTTGGGGTAGACGCAAGGGCATCTGGAGGTAAAAGCCAGCTTGGCCAATATAGACTCTCTTCAAAAAGCACACAAGCAAATCAAAGAGACTGAAAAATAGGAGCTGTGTGAGTAGCTCAGCGGTAGAGCACTTCCCTAGCATGTATGAAGTCCTGGGTTTAATCTTCAGCACTGAAAAGAGAAATCGCTGATGAAGGGAATGGTTGTAGGCAAACCCATCCCAGAAGCTTCTACTGTTGGATGACCTTGTTCAGTGAAATCGTCGTTTTTTAATTTTATTTATTTTTTATGTGCACTGACCTTTCTGCTTGCGTGTCTGTCTGTGCCAGGGTGCCAGGCAGTTGTGAGCCGCCAGGCGGGTGCTAGGAATTGAACCCAGGCCCTCTGCAAGAGTAACCTGTACAGTGCTCTTAACCACTGAGCCATCTCTCCAGTCCTCTCATTGAAATGTTTTAACCAAATCACGAGTACTGGGACTTTGTCCATCACAATGCTATCTTTATTTCCATGTTAGTGCGTACAGATATTTGGTAATATTTTACACTTGATTGCAGTGCTCCCAGAATCCTCTGTTTTTCTGTTTCCATATGCGGTCTCTGTCAAAGGGCAGGCCCCACAGCCATACAAAAGTTACTTAAAGCAGCCGGCACATCACCAAGACACCATCCCTTTTTATTTGGCTGGGACAGAAAGACATGCTCACCCTAGTGCCTGCCCGGGGCCGCCGCTGTCTGTTCCCATGGTGGTTTACTCTTACAGATGAGTTCAGCCCCGACACTGAGGAAACAGATTTGCCGAGGTCAGGCAAGGAAGCAGTAACACAATACGATCGTTAAGAACAAGGTGTTTCATGTGCCCGTTTATCACAAGTTACATAAACTCTTACATCCCACATACATACTTGATAGTTAAAAAATTTACAGATTTTAATTTAGTTTTATAGTCAGTTTGAAATCACAGCCAATCAATTTCTGAAGCCATGTTCATGTTAAAAGTGAAAATGTGTTATAAACATAACTTACAGTTCTGATCATGACAGGCCATGGAGTAGTTCATCACCGTTTTGCCAACCTTACTTTGCTATTACTCATTTCTAGGCTAACTGCCTGGAATTAAGTGGGAAACACCACATCTTAAAGCAAGAAAACATTTGTAAAGAGTCCTGTATATTCAGTTAACTCGACAAACCCACAGAGTCACGGTGAACAGATGCAAACAGTTTGTATTAACTCAGGAGACAGGCACAGGTCTTTGGAGCTGACTTTAACAATAGAAAACTTGGCCTCTTGTGAAAAGATAGCTTTATTTTGTCGTTTCATGAACAGTGTCAACCTTTGGCAAGAATAACTATCGTTTTAGTTTAGCAAGAACAGAGAGAAACAAAGGAAAATAAATCAACTGAATGCTTTTCCTTTTTTCTGGAAGACTTTTCTTGGGATTAACCCTGCCCTCTTCCATCCTGCATGTGGAGGCAATCCCCAGTTAATACCATGGGTCCCCTTAGCTGCCTGCCCCCAACAGGCTCTATCCGTGTATGTGTGTGTGTGTGTGTGTGTGTGTGTGTGTGTGTGTGTGTGTGTGTAAATCTCTTTAAGCATTTTCAACAGCTACGTCAGAGATTCTTTTTAAAAAGACATTTTCCTTTAAAACCTTAAGCTTCCCCCAACCTTCACCTCCCAAAAGATTTTTCTCCTATACTAATAAATAGTCCCCAAATCCTATTTGGTCACCCTTATCTCTTTTGTCAAAGGCCACAAAGAAAGACTCTGGCAAGTGTTCTAATTAGCTCACCAGAAACTCATCAAATTTAAGCACTGGAGTTCGACAAACCAACCCTTTCTTTCCTTTTGGTTTTTTCAAGACAGGGTTCTCTGTGCAGCCCTGGCTGTCCTGGCACTCGCTCTGTACACCAGGCTGGCCTCGAACTCACAGAGATCCGCCTGCCTCTGCCTCCCGGGTGCTGGGATCAAAGGCGTGTGCCAGCATCTCCCAGTCAAACCAACCCTTTCTCGAAGATGGGCTATTTATTTATTTTTCAGTGAAATATAAAACATGTAACAATCAAACTCTTTCTGGAAAGGCCCCCACCAGGGCTGCTCATGTAGCAGCATTATTGCTACATAGTGAACTCTTCAAAAACTATTTCAAACAGTATTTTCCCGCTTATAAAAACCTCGGCACAAAACAGTTAGCTCCCCCGCATCAGCGTAATCCACAGCCACTCACGTGCAGTGACGCCTCAGAGGGGAGACACATCCAATGCAAAAGTAAAAAGGGAAGCAGCATTAATACATTTTGGTACTTGTCATTAGTGAGAGTCAGGAATAGGCAATTAAGAAATTAAAAGGGATGTAGGAGAAGGCAAGGCATTGTTTATCAAAACGACTTTATGGTCCTAATAGCCTATACATACGATGGCATGAGTCTAAATTTTACATCTTGTAATAATTTACATCAGCATGTATATATAAATTTGAAATCTTAAAAAAATTACACTTATTTTTACTTTTTATTTTCTCACCATTAACCTTAATCTAGGCACTTTAAGCTGAAAATCCGTTTTTTTAAAAGACGCATTTCAGATCTTTCTGTATAACTCTTAAAACTAATGCAGTCCTTTTTAGGACCACCAATCAACAAGTCCAATCTACCAGTGAACAAGTGGTACATGATCTTAAAACACGGTTAACAGGGCTTTGAGAATACATAGTACACTTTGCCACTTCTTCATATGTTTATCATAAGGACACAGGATATATTCCCGATTAGAATATCTGTGTTCCATTTCTGAGAGGAAAAATCCTTTAAAACCCAAGCTGATAACATGGCAAGCTTCCCGTGTGCTGCTCTCGCTGTGGGGAGTCATGCTTGTTTTGCAGACAGAGCAAGGAGTAGATATTTGATTCTACCAGGTTTAATAACTTATGTCTCTTGGTAAATCATATTTTCAAGTTTAATATGTTATGATTTATAAAAAGATAAAAATCTCCAGTGTATTGTAAATCATAGGACTCTCGTCACGACAGGACCCTCCACAAGGTGCACACTCTAAACTCAGTTTCATTCTGTATACTAATCCTTCGTGATTACAATTTCTTCCATTCAAATACAAAAGCAAATACACAAGCAATAAGGCAAACAGCACAAACACCACTATTCCCTACATTTGATTAGACAAAGAGATAACTTGATGGTTAAGAGTACATTTCAGGCAAAGTTAGATATGTTGACAGCAGAAGTCATAAATTCTCACACATGTGAACCATGAGCACCTTAGGGTTAGTGTATTTTCAAGGTGCAAAGCATCGTGATGTATTTTGAGGATGATAGTGGACATTCCAGACAGTGGAATGTGGCAACAGCCACAAAGTATGCAACATTTCATAAATTATTACCTAGACGTGATTAAAAAGCCACTCTAGACACGTCACACACGGATTCGATGAGAGAATTTCCGCGCGCGCACAGCAAATCACCCGTTTTTTGAGACTTTCTTTCGCTCTCTCTCCCTGAGTCCACATCAACAATTCTGTGGATCCTGAGGCACACTTCACAACGTCATTCACTTAAGGTTCCAGACAGCACTCTCAAACCTCTTCAGTCCTTACTGTACTTTGCCTTCTACCAGGGTGGAGGACACGGCATGGGGGTGTCCACTAGTACAAGTTGCGGCATGCCTCAGGGCATCCGCACCAAGACAGGCGACGAGCAGTTCCGTGCGGCGGATGAGTAAGTGAGTGAGGTCCTCTGCCAAGGTGTCTATGCTCGAATAACGCACCTTCTCAAAGTCAAAGATGTCTTTGAGAAAGAAAAGAACTTGATTCTGGAAAATGAATATGCAAGAGATTGGTATTTATTACACCACAATTTGTTAAATCTATGAACTGCTGATCCTGGAACAGACAGCCTAGTTCTGGGGCTGGTTTCACATTTCATGGGCAAGGGGCTTTGAAGAAGTTATTTAACCTTTGGGCTGTTGTTTTCTATGTCTGTAAAATTTGGGCAAATACTACTTGTCTTTTTTTTTTTTTTTTTTTTTGAGCCATGGTTTCTCTGTGTAACAGCTCTGGCCGTCCTGAAACTCTCTTTACAGACCAGACTGACCTTGAACTCAGAGAACTCGGTAGGCAGAGGCAGGCCAAATTTTAATCTTGTAGGAATCATATGCTAAGGAATACGAGGACGGCTATCCCAGAGTCCCTGCAGGCCACAGGCCAGCAGCCTTCGAGTGCCCCAGTCTGCAGATGGGGAGGAGGTGGGAGGTGGGGGCCTCAGGGCTGGCTTAATCCAGCTCTACGCTTTTCACGGAAACACACACTTTACAATTGGAAAGTTAGGTAGACTAGAAACAAAGTAATGAGTTCTAAATAACAGTAAGATAAGTACTTCCTATGTCATTTCTACAACTAAAGCAAACAAAAATTAAAATAAAAAAATTCACAGTACAGCGAGACACCCAAGCATTCACATCTATACTTAGCTAACTGTTTGCCTCTTGAGATTCAGCCACCTCAATACAGTCCAACAGAGAGGTTTTCCTTGGTACTTTGCCAGCCACAACACTTTGTTGTGAGCTCTGACAAACACAGACTTCTAACATGAGGACATAACTGCAAATTCCAATGTGATTTCTTACAACTTGGGTTTCAGTGTTCATATCATTTTGTACAGAGCTGAGTTCTCTACCACCCAGGGGCCACTGTAGCATGGCAACAGGGTTCAAGGCCCTGACAGGAAAAGTGGGCAGTCAGTGGACCTGTGGGGTCTACTCTACAGTAGAGTGTCAGCTGCCTAAGACCCTGGTCTGTTACATTAACATTGGTATTTAGAAATGTCACAAACTTAATACTGGTACTTAAATACAGAATTTAGGTGATTTTTACAACTTTATATATGTTATACAAAAGCAAACAACTTTGTTTTATTTTTTTAAAGCAATGATTCAATGACTGAACATACCTTAAAGAAGCAACATAAGTCATACAGAGAATTTCTAGGGCCCAAGAAGCCCCAGGCTAAGACAGGGCTTATATGCTCACAAATGGCATAAAAATGGGCGAAAAATCCATCTGAGATCTGTTGGGAAGCAAAAGGGAATCCGGTTATTTTTACCTTCTTCAATTTACATTCTCTATTAATGAAGCATAAACTGGTAGCATGTATGTGGGCAGCACTCTTTGGGAGCAGACCAAGGTTCCATAATGAGGCAGCCTATTGGGAGCATTAACAAACTTACCAGTAATTAAGGGTCAGGGGGTTTTTATAGGCTATACCCTAGCCAGCAGATTTCCATGTGAAACACCTTCTAAAAGGCAAGTTCACCTCATAAAAATACATTTTGAATCTTCCCTATCCAGGAGCTCCAGCCAGAAAAATTCCAGATTGTTCTGAATTTTGGAACACCTCTTCCAATAAGGCCACACCTCCCAATCCTTCCCAAAGAGTTCACCTTGGGACAAAGCATGTAGAACAGGAGCCGTTAGGGGACATTCTCAGTCAAAGCACCACAGAGCAGTGGGTTCTGCATTTAACTTCTAGTTCCTAAAAGCAATTATCACACGGCAGCAAAATTCTAGCAATGCTACAGTGTTCTTCCATGACATGAAATGAATACACCTAACTTAAAGCATTTTCACTAAAAGTATTTGCCTTCTCAATGTCTTCCTCGGCCTAACTATCATTCAATAGCTTGCTGCTTAGTTTCCATGATTTTATGTACTTTTCTATTGCTCTTGGTATCTAGTTTTATTCCATTGTGGTCAGATAGACTCTAGAATGTTGTTCTAATTTCCCTGCATCTATTTACACTGGCTTTGTGTCCTAATATGCTGTCAATTTTGGACAAAGTTCCAAGGGCCGTTGAGAAGCACACTCTTAGTGTGTGGGTAGAACGCTCTGTGGTGTCTGTTATGCCCATTTTATTTGTGGCACAACTTTACTCCCCCATGTTCCCTGCTCAGTTTTTGTCTGTTGGTGAGACAATTGTGAAGTCCACGGTTATCGTGGTGCTGAGGTTAACGTGTGGTTTTAGATCATAGAGGATGCATTGTGCAAGAGTTATTTTAACTTTAGTCAAGTGTGTGTGTGTGTGTGTGTGTGTGTGTATCTCTGCGCACATAAACAGACATGCTCACAGAGGCTGGAAGATGTCAGATTCCTGGAACTGCAGTTACACGTGATTGGGAGTTGCCTGACTGGAGTACTGGGAACTGAACTTGTACCCTTTGCAAGAACAGTATGTGCTCCTACCTGCTGAGCCATCTCTCTGGCCCCAAACAGCTTGCTTAGAAATTCAGTGCCCTCCAGAGAGGCCTGTTTCTTTAAGCATGAAGTACCCTCCTTATCTCTTCTGACTAGTTATGGGGTGAAGTTGATTTTGTCAAACATTAGAAGAGCTACTCTGATCGTCTCTTAGTTCCATTTGCTTGGATAATTTCCATTCCATGACTCTAAGGTGCTGTCTATCATTGATAGTGATATGTGTTTCTTGGAAGCAGAAACAAAAACAAAACAAAACAACAACAATAAAAACAAAAATCCCAACAACAACAAGAATTGGGGAAGAGAAGGGTATCCTGTTTACTAATCACATCCACTAGCCTGTGCTCTTTATCGGGGAAGTAAGACTGTTAATATTATTGGACAATGTATGTTATTTCTTGTCCCTGTCATTTTGTGGTGTTTTATCTGTCCTTTTTTGATTAGCTGTTCTGACACAGTTTATTTTCCTAGGTGAGTGTTATTCTTCTCTACAGACCCAAAGTATTCTTTCCAGTACCCTCCACCTTCTGCAGAGCTGGCTTGGGGTCATCAATTCCTGTGATCTTCGCCATAGGAAGGTTTTCTTTTTCCTTTTTTATCTTTATGACTGATAGGTTTTTTTTTTTTTTTTTTTTTTAATTTTCGTACAGTGGTCTGGGATGTCATCTGCTGTCTTTCAGGACTTACAGACCATACATTTGAGGCACTGTGGCTCTTTAAGTCTCCACTAAAAAGTGGGCGTGGCTCTTACTCCGCTGGGACCCGTTACATGGGAGCTGGCCTTAGCTTCTGTAGCTGTCAATAGCTTCTGTGATCTGGGCATCCGGTGTTATGACCACTATATGACCCAGACAGTTTCTTTTCTGGTACCAACCATTTCATGTGTATGCCTTTTGCATCTTGATAGGCATTTTCTTGCCTTAAATTTGGAAAATTTTCTTCTGTGACTTTGTTGAACATATTACCTGGTTTTTGACATGGGTTTCTTTCTTCCATGTTTCAAAAGTTTGGCACTTTTATGGTGTCTTAAAATTCACCAGTGTTCCGTTCATGGATGTGCTGCTTTTTGCTTTTGTTTTGTCCACTCGACACAAACTAGAGCCAGCTGGGAGGAGGGACCTTAACTGAGGGACTGCCTCCATCAGACTGAAGCGGGCAAGTCTGCGGGCACCTTCTAGACTAATAACTGTTACGGAAGTGTCTGGCCCTGGATGACACAAGAAAGCAAGCTGAGTCAGCCAGGAAGAACAAGCCAGTGAGGAATGCTCCTCCAGAACTCCTGCCTTGAATTTCCTGGACGGTGCACTGTAACACGCAAGTAAGCCAAGAAGCCCTTTCCAGTTCCTTCTCCTGTCTGACATTATCCCACGTGGCCATATGTCAGTGGGTAAAGAGCTTGTCACGCAAGACTTACAACTTAAATTAAGATCTTTAGAAACTACGTAAAAGCCAGACACATGGCACACGTGTCTGTAATGCCGGTATAGGGAGATGGGACTAAGGGATAGAAGAATTTTCACATGATCTAGCTTACACTGCAGCAAAAAGACCTTTCTCAGATACGGTAAGCCCTGATACCCAAATGCCTTTACTGACTGACACGTCACTCTGTTCAGACTGAGCAAGCGACTGTGAGGGTGTCCTGTTACAGAGAAGACTGTCCTCGTGTCCCTCCTTACACCCAGGCCTGCTTATTCTGCAGGCCTTGGGACAGCACAGAGCCTTGTCACATACTAGGCAGGCAGCCTTGGCCGTGTGGTCTGAGCCAGCCTCCTCCCCATCCATAAATTACCCAGTGCTGGTTGTTTTACAGCAACAGAGCATGGGCTAAGGCAGGACCCTGGGGCGCGCCAAGTCTCACCTTCATCTGCTGCCTTTTCTGTTTCAACACCGACCAGCAGCTTGAAGCCACAGCCTGAATGTACACAGAGGAGAAAACAGACTTAGATTGATAGCTGTTGTCAATGTTTCAATTTAAAAACAGTGATTTGTATTGGAATTCAAAGTTTCTTAGTCTAGAAATTCCAAAGAGTAATAGTAAGGGCTAACCTGGGCTCCTGGTATTGTTTATGAACATTAGGGGGATAATTCATTTTAATGAAATAAAAATTTAATACAAAGCCAATAAGAGAAAAAGACTGAACTCTGGAACCAAGGTTAGCAATTACAACACAATTCTCAAGGGCTCATAAATTCTAAAGCTACATACGGGCACTCACTCCTATAACTCTGGTACCTAAGAGGCTGAAGCAGCAGGTCCCCAGATTTCAGAGCTCCTAAACCCTGTTTCTGTGGAAAAGCACTGAAGATAAATTTAGTATTGCATTTCATCCAAGGACAGTATTGCTGGAACATCTGAGGGTAAAGCTAAGTTTTATTCAAGAACTAAGAAATGGCAACCATGATGAGTGGAAGAAAAGCCCCAGTGGACCCTGATGAAGTCTCTTCTCTGGCCAACCCAGCGTTAGCAGACATCCACTTCCTGCGGCTAGAGCATAGTTTATGTATACTTGAAATGCTTTACAGTGCAGTATCTGGAAGTTTCCAATTGTGAAACAGTGAATGGAACTTTTAAAAAGACATTTCTAGCATTCAGACTTCATCACCCTCCCTCCCTCCGTTTTTTCTTCTTTTTTGAGACAGGCTCTGTTCATGTAGTTCTGACTGGTCTGGAACTCACAGAGATCCACCTGCTTCTGCCTCCTGATGCTGGGATTAAAGAGGTGTGCCACCACTCCTGACCTCTATGTAACTTTTTAATCAGCTGTCCATCTCTGGTCATTTCCCATCAGTCTGAATGGCGAGGAAAGTAAATAACACTCACTGTTTCCTTGAAAGAGGAGTTGAGCCAGCGATTGTTCACGACATTCTGTATGGATGTTGGTGGGTTTTCTAAATCCTCAAAGGAGTCCATTAAGATAAAATCCAGAACCACATCATAAAAATTTAAGTTTTTCACCTGTATTAAATTGCAAGATAGAAATGGGTATTACAGAGAGCTGAGTAAAGTCTGAGCACTTCAATGCCTGGTGTTTCTCTACAAAGAGACGGTAAGAACACAACCACATCTCCAGGGTATTCGTCCCTTCCTGGCCCACGAGGTCAGCTCATCTGCTTACTATCCCTTTCCTGTGCCTCAGGCTGAGTGGTGGCGGCGCTCATGGGGAGTGGGTCCTCACTCACCCCCAGGTCAGCCTGTCTTACTCCATCACTCTGTGAAGTAGCAAGTGATGTTCAGATACGGGGAGTCTACGGGGAAAACAGCAAGAAAACAGTCCCACAGATAAGCAATTACAACCCCAGTAAGCACAATGAAGCATCAAGAGTGTGTGGCACCGGTTGGTTTTAAGCTGGACTTTAGAGAGGGCTCCCTGGGGAGTGGGCCTTCCCAGGAGCAGGGAATCCTGTGAGGCTTTAAGGCCAGAGGGAACGAACGCAAAGGCGTCAAATGGAAACTGAGACCGAGCAGGTGGAAAGTCTGGCAGGAGACCACAAGTAGATCCTGTAAGGATTTATACCCACGTGGAGGACTTCTACTGTCACAGCAGGATGGAGCTGGGGCGGGGGGGATGGGGGATAATCAGATCACATAGCTTAAAGATGCTCGTGGCAAGTTTGGCCGGGAGGCATGTAACTGCGACCTCAGCACCTGGGAGGTAGAGGCTGGAGGGGCAGGAACTCAAGTTCATCAGCAGCTCCCTGGAGTTCAATGCTGGGTTACAATGAGACCTTGTCTGAAAAGATAACTTTAGCAGAAGTGTAGGTGGGAACGGGTGTAGGGGAGAGGGTGGGCAGGAGTCACAGAATACAGAGACAGGCAGTAGGTTGGGCAAAAGGCAATAGAGATTTAGGCCAAGGTAAAGGCGGCAGGAAGAAAAGCCGAAGGAGCTAAAATATGTTTGGGGGTTCAGCCGTGCCCAGGTCAGAGACGACTGTGGAAAAGCGGGTAATGGGCAGGAAGGCTGAAGAGGAAGGCTCGGGCGTCTACTGATTCAGTTCACAGAGTGAGAGAGCACAGAGCCGAGCTCTGGGTGCCTATGGTTCCCTCTGCGACGTCTCCCTGGTAACTAACTCACCTGTAAGTTCCACCACAGCGAGCGTCCCACTCAGCCTGGACTCGGCCTGCGCTGGGCTGGAATGGACACATTCTCAATGGTTTCTACCATTGGTGGCTGCTGGTCAGAAGCCAAGAACTGAGTTGGGAATGATGTGTGGTACTGTTGCTGCTCCCAGACCCCACATAACCAGGGCCAGGAAGTAAATACCCGAACCTTCATGTCTCTATCAAATCCACCACCGTGTGCATTTATAACCTACGACCCCACTTTGCATTGCAGCCACTGAGGTGCTAGGCTCTTCTGCCGTCTCTGACAGTAAGGCTCTGCCTCGGATTCTTCTTGGCACCTTTGCGTCTTCAGTCCTACAGAAGGCGTCTACTCCCTTAGCTTTCCTAAGGTGCTCATCCCTAGCTCATCTCAAGCTGCTCTTGTACAGGGCAGTCACTGCCTTGCTGAATGAAGCCTGCCACTTGATTTTCAGATGGGAGATGTGAATGAAGAAAAACAGTCATTTCTTTACAAGCAACCAATGCATAAAGAATACAGTTTCCACTGTTTATGAGTGTCAGGGACAGCATGGTGCCCACCACCACACAGCTGGATTTCCTGTCATTTAAAAAAGCAGAGAGACACTGCCTTCGTCAGGTGAATACATGCAGATAACAGGAGTAAAGGTTATATAAAATTTGAATTTACCCCTCTGGCAGCAAGTTCCATCTCAGTACTATCCCAGTGATCAGTCTGCTCTAAAAAATAGATCATTTCATCAAAAACATCTTCAAATTTCTTTGGATTCTGCAAAGAAAACATATTGAAGTCTAAACTTTATAACAAGACAAGTCTGCAAAATAAATAAGTTACTTTTCCATACAGTTAGTTGGATCTTAATTATTCTAGAAACCACTCTCAAAGCAAGCCAAATTATTTACTTTTTTAAAGTGTCCTAAGTATCCCAGGCTAGCCTCAAATGAACTGTATTGTAAAGGGTGACCTCACACTTCTGACCCTGTTACTTCATTCAACTTCCTCCCAAGTGCTGGGATGACAGATGTGCCCCATATGTGGATTATAGGGTGCTGGGATTACAGATGTGCCCCTATACCTGGATTATAGGGTGCTGGGATTACAGATGTGCCCCATATGTGGATTATAGGGCGCTGGGATTACAGATGTGCCCCTATACCTGGTTTATAGGGTGCTGGGATTACAGATGTGCCCCATATGTGGATTATAGGGTGCTGGGATTACAGATGTGCCCCTATACCTGGTTTATAGGGCACTGGGATTACAGATGTGCTCCTATACCTGGTTTATAGGGCACTGGGATTACAGATGTGCTCCTATACCTGGATTATAGGGCACTGGGATTACAGATGTGCCCCATATGTGGATTATAGGGCGCTGGGATTACAGATGTGCTCCTATACCTGGTTTATAGGGCGCTGGGATTACAGATGTGCTCCTATACCTGGTTTATAGAATGCTGGGATTTAACTCAGGCCCTTTTACATGACAGGTTAGGCAAGTAGTCTACATTTTTCAGCCGTTCACTTAACACCTGTTACTCTACGGAAGCCAAGAATGAGAATATTAGTAAAGCCTCGTAGCAAACTGCTATTCAGACTTTGAGATGAAAACGTGGTTCCAGCAGAAGACTGGGGTCCTTCCGATGCAGCTCTGCCCCTCCCGGAGGCACACTGGTTCAAACCCCTGGGCTTGTCTACAATAGGAAGGCCAAGAGAGCAACCCCCAATTTGTACTTGGACTGACAGTCACTCAGTATACTTTGTTACTTTCCCAGGTATCATTTATTCAGTCACAATAGTTTCTGTACTGTAACTGCTTAGTAGAGTGGATGCAATTCTACTACACTACACGGATCAAGGATCAAGGAATTGAGGGTGAATAGGACTGGAGCTGAGCACCAGCTGGCAAAGAGCTAACGGCAGGCCTTCTTATTTCTGTTAGCATGTTTAAATCTGGACAGGCCTGGATAAAGGAAAGTGGCTCCTTGCAGTCTGAACGAAGCCCTTATCCATGTCTCTGCTTTACTCAGTCCAGTGATGATGAGTGACAGGCGGCTCAGTCTGTGTTCAGGCTCCGCAGTGTTCTTCCTGCACAGCTGGAGGATGTGGTAGCAACAGCTGGTCACAGTAGCAGCTCTACCAACACCTCTACTCACCAGCGACCTCCAGTCAGCACAGTCCAATGTAAGTTATTAGAAACAGCCTGCTCAAAGGACACGAGCTTTACACACAGAAAGTAACTCAAGTGGAAACTAATGCTCTTGGGCTAGATGGGGTAGTGCTCATCTGTAGCCCCAGCACCCAGGAGGCAGAGGCAAGACAATCAACACACATCTGAGTTTAGCTTGATCCACAAAGTGAACCCCAGGTCAACTAGAGGAACACAGAGGCTTTGTCTCAAAAAATAAAATAAAATAAAATACTGTTTGTGGACCTTTCCAGTTGCTTACACAGTTTTCTTCCACCATTAAAATTTTAGTATATTTTAATTTTTAGAAAAGTTAAAAATACTTATTTTTTCGTTTGGTAGACAGGTGGCACATGCCACCGTCTGTGAGAGAGAACAACCGCTGGGCTGGGTTCTCCTTCGTGCGGCGTTCTAGGGTTCTCGACCGCGTGAGTTCTAGATCATGTGGGTCCTAGGGTTCTTGATCATGTGGGTTCAGGGTTCAAACTCGGGTTGTCAGCTTGTTGACAAGGACCTTTACCTGCTGAGCTATCTCACCAGCCCCTTGCATTTTATTATTTACTCTTCAATTACATAAACCACCTAAAACAAAACTTGCTTAGAGAATAGATTTACCTTCCGTGCTTTCACAATTAAAGCTGATAAAATCTTCCTCCCGCTTTGAGCAAGGAATATCCTGTTAGCTGCTTCTGAAAGAATCACCTGAAAAATACCAAGCCCCAAGGTGAGAATGGGTTCCAGTGACACCAGAGACCGCTGCCTGTGATGCTAGGTCAACACTGGAAACACAGGAGGCCTAGATGTACAGAAATGAGGATCTCTTAAACCCAGTGATCAAAAAGATAAGAGGCAGATAATTGGAATTTAAATCCTGCTTTAGACACTTGAGTGGCAGGTCACTTAGTGGTTCAGAAGTTTGGTTCCCAGCACCCACGCTGGGCACCTTAAAACCACCTGCTACTCCAAGTCCATGATATCTATCTCATACCATCTTCCGGTCCCCCTGGACACCTGCACTCACGTGTACCTACCTAACTTCCCACACACACGCACACACACATGAAAATAATAAAAAGATTTTTTTTTTTTTTTGAGACAGGTTTTCTCTGTGTAGCCCTGGCTGTAGACCAGGCTGGCCTTGAACTCACAAAGAGTGTTGGAATTAAAGGTGTGTGCCGGCAATTCTGGTTTTAGTATTAACAACCTCACTTCTGTTTAGGAAATCAGTATCCTTTATCACTGATGCAAATTTTAAAAACATAAATATACTCTGGTTGATGACAAAGCGCCATTTGAAGAGCCATTTACACACACGTACACCATCACTGTGTTCCGCTTAGACAAAGTGTGGTGGAGGAAGGGTTGGGGAAGGGCAATGGAAATGGGGACAGCAGCCTGGGGGGGGGAGAATAAACTTGGCCGGCTGCCTACCTGCCGTGAGCGGCCAGCATAATGAAAGGAGCTGTCCTGTGCACAGGAAGGGATGCCACGTCACACATAAAGGCACACAACTCACTCAACGCCCTAAGACACACCTGGAAAGCCTGCCGGATGCAGTGGAGTTTGGCGAGAAAGTCGCTGTCTCCCAGACACTCCAGCATCTCAGTTCTGTATCATAAAGAGCAGAGAGCAACCGTCAAGTCCCATTTGAGAGCGAGCCTTCCACACACCTGGACTTGAGCGGGGCTTCACCACAGGACCTTAACATAAAACACATGTCCTCTGCACACTGGCAGACCGTGGAAAAAATTCACTTGTACCAAAAATGTGTTTTCCCCATAATCGTAAGTATAATTTAATAACTGTCACACAAAAAGAGCATCAGCACTGTAATTTATTATTACACAATAATATATTAGCCGCTAAGATAAATGATTAGCCATAAGCTAAACTCGCATAATACCTCAGGACTCGGGAGTGAATTTTTCCCTCTTCAACCAAATGCATAGCTTCCTCATAAAAAGGGCAGCAACAAAAGGACTCCAGGCCGTAGCTGTGCTGTGCTTCTCTGTGCTCCGTGAGCTGAGAATGCAGAAAAATGACTCACAATGAAGTAAGAACTCCCAAAGCACCCGGACATTACCAAAATACGCTAAGTGTGACTAAACCACAAAACCACTAAATTCATTTTACTTCAGATCTCAGTTGTCACAGTTTCAAGGTGAGCCTGGACCAATATGGGCAAGACCCTGCATCAACATAGATACCCAAACAACAAAAACTCAGGCATTGGGCCGGAGGGCTGGCTGAGGGGTAACGGAGGCATGCTCAGTTTCCAGCACCCACAGCGCAGGCTCACAGCCTCCTGTAACTCCAGCTCCAGGGGAATCGGCAGTCCTGGGTTCCATCCACTCCTTTAATCCCTGCACTCAGAGGCCCGCCTTGTTACACAGTCTCAGTCCAAAAGAGAAAACGTAACAAGCTTAGTTCATTTCAAACCCAACTACTTAAATCCACAAGGCGTGCAAAAAGCAGACTAACTAATGAGGAAGAGGGTTTCTGTCATCCACAGAGCACTTTAAACTCCTATGGCGACACCCAAGAGGACACAGACACACATCCTACCTTGCTGTCGTAAGGAATTCTGTCTTATACGTGACTTTACCTAGCTTTTATGTTACTGAAAGATAATGCTCTTTTGATTCTACAAATAGAATCTAACAACTCTATAAATAAAATTCCGTCTGATGCTTCCTTAAAAAAAAAAAAAACTACAAATACTATTGGGTGGTCAGCTACACAGAAATCCCCAGAACACTGTAATGTGTGAGTGTGTGTGTGTGTGTGTGTGTATGTGTGTGTATGTGTGTGTGAGTGTGTGTGTGCATGTGTGTGAGTGTGAATGTGTGGATGTGTGTGAGAGTGTGTATGAGTGAGTGTGTGTGCGTGTGTGTATGAGTGTGAGTGTGTGTGTGCATGTGTGTATGAGTATGAGTGTGTGAGTGTGCGTGCATGTGTGTATGAGTGTGAGTGTGTGCATGTGTGTATGAGTGTGAGTGTGTGAGCATGTGTGTATGAGTGTGAGTGTGCATGAGTGTGCGTGAGTGTGTGCATGTGTGTATGAGTGTGAGTGTGCGTGCATGTGTGTATGAGTGTGAGTGTGAGTGTGTGTGCATGTGTATATGAGTGTGAGTGTGCATGAGTGTGCGTGAGTGTGTGCATGTGTGTATGAGTGTGAGTGTGCGTGCATGTGTGTATGAGTGTGAGTGTGTGAGTGTGTGTGCATGTGTATATGAGTGTGAGTGTGCATGAGTGTGCGTGAGTGTGTGCATGTGTGTGTATGAGTGTGCATGTGTGTATGAGTGTGAGTGTGTGTGCATGTGTGTATGAGTGTGAGTGTGCATGAGTGTGCGTGAGTGTGTGCATGTGTGTGTATGAGTGTGAGTGTGCGTGTGTGCATGAGTGTATGAGTGTGAGTGTGTGCATGTGTGTATGAGTGTGAGTGTGTGTGTGCGTGCATGTGTGTGTATGAGTGTGAGTGTGTGCGTGTGTGCATGTGTGTATGAGTGTGAGTGTGTGTGCATGTATGAGTGTGAGTGTGCATGAGTGTGCGTGCATGTGTGTATGAGTGTGAGTGTGTGTGCATGTGTGTATGAGTGTGAGTGTGTGAGTGTGCGTGCGTGTGTGTATGAGTGTGAGTGTGTGCATGTGTGTATGAGTGTGAGTGTGTGCATGTGTGTGTGCATGAGTGTGCGTGAGTGTGTGTGCATGTGTGTGTATGAGTGTGTGAGTGTGTGAGTGTGTGAGTGTGTGCATGTGTGTGTATGAGTGTGAGTGTGTGTGCATGTGTGTGTGTATGAGTGTGTGTGTGTGTGTCTATGGGGAGAGATCCTAGGGTCTGTACATGATATGCATGCCCTCTCGCTCCTCAGTTATATTCCCAGCTCTACACGTTTGAAAATAGTATTACTGAAAAGTCTTGCATATACCATGATATCCACTCTGTTAAAGTATACAACTTGCAGGGTGTTGGAACATGCAGAGTTACGTAACCAACAGTACTTTCAAGAATGTATTTGTCACTCCACCAGGAGGCCTCTTTTCCATTAGCAGACCTCCTGTTCGCCTCTCCTTGCTCCTGGAAACCATTACTGGGAAACCACAGTTTCCTACTGAGGAAATGGCATTTAATGGGATTAGCCTGTGTGTGGCCTTTTGTGTTTAGCTGCTCTCAAGGTTCTACCACGATAAACTAAACATCGGCAGTCCACTTGTATTTATGGATCACCAAAACTCAAATGCATGGGAGCTGAGAGATGGCTGTTCTTCCAGAGGACCCGGGTTCGGGTCTCAGTCCCTCACCAGATAGGTCACAACCCCTGCGCAACCACACTTCCGAGGGATCCAGTGCTCTCTTCTGGCCTCTGTGGGCACCAAGCTGCATGTAGTACACATACATACATACATGCATACAGTCATACATATACACATACATACATACATGCATTCATACATACAAACATACATACATTCATACATGCATACATTCATGCATACATACAAACACATTCATACATGCATACATTCACTCATACATACATTCATATAAATATACATACATACACACACTAATTCATACATGCATGCATGCATACATACATAATACATTCATACATACATACAGGTTATTCACACATACAAATATGTAGATAATATTTAAAACAACAAGGCTCTGATGAATGGGCACACTTCATTTTATTTGTCTATTTCTCAGTGATGGACACTGGGTTTTTCCACTTTCTGGGGTCATGAACAGGTTGCTATGAATATTTTTGTTCAACTTCAAAACATACGTGCTTTCAACTTTCCTGGTACATAAACAGAAGGGTAAGACGGTAACTCTGTGTTTTACTGTTTTGCAAAGTGGCTCTCCTGGCTCTCTGTCACCAACAAGTTCACACACCCTCTCATAACGACGGCTGTTCTGCCTTTATGTGACAACGACAGCAGATGAGCAGATGACTGATAACAGGTAGCACTTTACTCTCTTTGGAGAAATCTTTCAATTTCTGTTCGGTTTGCCCATTTTTACATTAGGCTACTTACCTATTTAGTATTTAATTGTAAGGGTTCTTTGTACAGCACAGACACAAGCCTTTTTTTTTTTTATCAGCTATGTAATCTGTGAACACACACACGCGCGCACACACACACACGCGCACACACACACGCGCACACACACACACGCCTGCGCGCACACACACACGCGCACACACACGTGCGCACACACGCGCGCGCGCACACACACGCGTGCGCACACGCAGGGTAACTGAGCTGAAGTGTAGTGCACTGGTGAAACTCCTTCACCATGAGCATAGCTTATCTTACCTCTGCTGCTGAAGCAAAGAGATCTGATTCACTGTCCCCTGTGTCCTGCAGGCCAAAGTCATCCATCGCCTCCTTCGTGCCCGCATCTGTGTCTTTATCTTAAAAGGGAAAAGGTGGGGCCCACATCGTTATTCTTTGTCACGCTCACTTTCTAGAGTGTGAGTTCACCTCTACTCTTTATTCGGACAGTCAGGGCTCGGCGCAAACAGTAACAAACTATGGTGGGTGGTAATCCGACAAACTCTACAGTGTCCTCGCTTGACATAGCGCCATGGCACGGGACAAAGTGCTGGAAAAGGCAGTCTTCATTTTTCTTTAATTTTTTTTTTTTAATTAAAAGAGCTCCCCCCCCCACCAAAAATACCAAAAACAAAAAACCCAACAGAGTTTCTCTGTGTAGCCCTGACTGTCATGGAACTCACTATGTAGTCCAGGCTGGCTTTGAACTCATAGAGACCCACCTGCATGCGTCTTGCAGGCTGTGGTGGCCCACACCAGTAAGATAAGCTGAACAAGCAGAGGAAGACAGAATCATGAGTTCAAAGCCAGACATCTACACGGTGAGACTGTCTCAAAATACCAAAGGGCCTGTGCCGCCACACTTGGGTTTTTGGGTTTTACTGAATTATTAACACAAAGTTTCTGGCTCATCACTGACAGAGAGCCTCCGTCAAACTCTGAGGGTGACTTTAACAAACGGAACAACCCATGAAGACCAGATATCAGATTGTCATGTTTATTCTTTTTACTTAAAAACTAACCACCTCGGTGGCTTTTGTTTTGTTTTAGGAGACAGGGTTTCTCTTTGTAACAGCCCTGACTGTCCTGGAAACAGGCTGACTTCGAACTTGCAGAGATCGGCCTGCCTCTGCCTCCCACCACCTCCCGGCTGGGTTCTTAAATGGTGGTAAAGCTTGACCTGTTTGGAAATAATCTATGAGGCTGTACTAGGACAGGTCACCTGTTAGCAATGCACGTCATCCTGACTGTGGGTCTGAAGAGCCTCCAAACTATCAACAGGAATCCAGTCAATGACAATAAATTTTCAGCTTGAAAACTACTTATCTGTTTGATTAGATTGTACCTAATAACCAACGTACTTAAAAAAAATGCATCATGGGTATAAAAAGCAAAGAATAAAACATTCTCAATCTGTTAAACTTGTTAAAATGCTTTATCCCCTTTAATAAGAAGCCAAGAATTTCCTTGGTTTCATTTATTCAAATTTCCATTCTACTAAACCTCCTTTAAATAAATGTCATAAATTTTGCCAGAAATCTTTCAAAATTTCTTGAGAACCCCTATGTATCAGAAACACAGAAATGTATTGTGTTTCATTGGGAAGTAAAATCCAAACTCTATTAATATAGTTTAAATTCAAAAACCGATTACATTTTAAGTCCTATGTAGAACAAAGGGGTGATGCCTAGGGGCGAGGTCCCGGGTAGGCTGTGGAGAATGCCCACCGGTGCTGCATACCATACTCTGTTTCGTGTTTGCTGCGACCAGCTCTTACATTTTAACTATTCACCTTCTAAACTTTAAGTTATAATTGTTTCATATGATGCTTGTATCAAGCCTTTGAAAGCACTTCTCTTAAAATTCTACCAAATCAGGTGTGGTGTTGCATTGGTACAATCCTAGTTATTCAGGGGTCAGGAACCTAGCTTAACCCAGCAGTTCAAAGCTAGTATGGGCAACATAGCCAGACACTATCTCAAAAAACAAAGAAATAAAACCCTTCTGCTAAAGGACCATTGTAAACAAAGATTAAATTATTCTACTTAAAAAATAACAGTCTGGGAATGTAGCTCAGTGGTAAAATACTTGTGTAGCATCCACAGTGACTACAACCCTGGATTCTTTATCTAGCATAGCCAACAAACACACACACAAACAAACCAACCACCCCAAACCAAACCAAAAGGAAATGACAAAACCTCAGAAATGTACAATACTCTCCCAAACTAGAAAATAAAACAAGTTCCTTGCACTTAAAATTTTATGCTACTACTTATGTACTTCTATGTGTGCCTGAGTAAATTTATGTGAACCATGTACATGTAGATGCTCACAGAGGTTAGTTCCTGGAACTGGAACTACTATGGTTGTGAACCACGAAGTGTGTGCTGGAAACACACCCAAGTCCCCTGTGAGAGCAGTATATACTTTTAACCGCTGAGCCATCTTTCCAGTCCAGTTCTTTCACACTCTTATAAATAGTTTCATAACTGGCAAATAGTATTTTTGGACACTCAATTATGGGAGAAATTCTCGTAAGTTTCATTTCAGTACATATAAGCCACTTAAAATGCACACACACACACACGCATACATGCAAACACACACATGTGCTAGCACACAGACATACACACACCTGTGTGCACATAAAGGCACACATATACATACATGCATGTAAAAACACACCTGTGCCAGCACACACATACACATACTTGCACACATACATATGAATGCAGGCATACATACTTGCACGTGTTAACACACATACACACTTGCGCACACAAATTCATGTGTGCAAAAATGTGCAAGCACACACATACACACTTGGGCACACGCAAATGCATGCATGTAAGCATACACAGACATACACACACTCATACACATGTATACACTTGAGATGTTTAAGAGTCTGCATTGTGAAGCTGTATTGTCTTAATTCCTTTCCATTGTCAGTGGTGCTTGTGTAAGCGTGTACCATTTCATTACACCACAGCTGTAAAGCAGGATGAAATTTACAGTCTGTTCTAGGTTCCATGTGGCTGTCGTCATTCTCCACACACCACGGTTATCTAGAACCACTCTCTGTTCTAGGTTCCATGTGGCTGTCGTCACTGTCTCCACACACCACAGTTATCTAGAACCATCCCCTGTTCTAGGTTCCATGTGGCTGTCGTCACTGTCTCCACACACCAGTTATCTAGAACCACTCTGCTTTGCACATATTACACAGGAACTGTTAAGCCTGTTTAGATTCAGTTGACAGTAACTAGCCATTCAATGTCATCCAGATCAATTATGATTGTACTTTATTTAAATAAAGAAAATTAACAAAGCTGACTCAATCCAGAGGGACTAGAACTACTCATTGAGTCCAACTCTGCTGTGGTGATGCAATATTACAAAGCATCTCTTACATTCTAACAGACTGGAACCTTTGCTGGACTTCACAGCCAGAGTTAATAATGTACCTTACACTCACGTAAGGCTTAAAACTGCTGTCCTACTGTGTACCTGGCCTGTTGGGTTAGCCCGTGTTTAAGAGAATAATGAAACAATCAACTTACTAGCTTGGATTTCCCTGTAACCAACTTTTACAACCTAAGCTAATGCATAGCTGTAATCTTAGGTACCATCCCATGCCCGACTCTGATCAATGTATGTTTTATGATAACCATTTGCTGGAAAGAGCAAACAGGCTGAAATCAGTCTTTTAAATGGATGTCCATGATATATGTCAGCTGGAGTCAGTGGCCCAACCCCTTGTGAAATTGCTAAAGGTTCCATGTGGTATCTTCTGTGCTGTTCCAGAAATGCAGAGAAAAGCCCCCTTTTATGGACAGCCCCATCCAGACAGACACACACAGGCAGACACACACTCAGTGACGGATTCCCATGTCACCTTCAGGCAGGAACAGACCCAAACTCATGCAGCAGGCAGAGGACGGAAGTCTTAGGGAAAGTGAAGAAGAGAATTCAAATCTGGGCTTGTTCTTGGTTAAATAGCACCGAGGGGAAGTGCTCCGATTTCTTTGCTTAATGCAATAGCAACTAATTATTGGCGACTCTGAGTTCATCACTAATGTGTTGTGTCTATGTGCCAGAAAACAACATACCGTGCCCCTTATTTCAGAGATTGTTGTAATTCCTGAATGGCAGCCTAACGATGAGGAACAGAAACAACACATCTGCTTCTTGGATGAAGCAATAAAATGTGTAAGAAAGTCTGGGCAAGCCCCCATGCTCAGTTTTCACACACCCAATTAAAACATACAACACACTTTCAAGAGCCTCAATTCAATTCTTGACTGTACTGCCAAAACACAACATCTGAAACGGAAGCTTTCATCCTACCAGTTTCCTAAACTCCTACGAAATTTTCCCCGGGGATGTCTTAGTTAGGGTTTTTACTTTAGGTATGTATGGATCTTTGGTTTTCTGAGGCAGGGTTTGTTCCTGTAGACCTGGCTGTCCTGGGAGGCAAAGGCAGACGGCTCCCACTAAAGTCAGGGTCCTATTGCTTATTAGCTGTGTAACCTTGAGAGAGTTCACCTGTTTCTCAGTGAGCTCGTGTAAACAGAGGAGCAAAATCCACCTGAGTGTCACAAGGATTAAATGTTAGGTATATAAAGATCCAAAGTTGGCCATTCATGAACGTGTGCCACATAATGGACTCTGTTTTTCAGCAACCATTGCCTAAACATATAACACAGAAGAAGAAACCAATCTGCGGGCAGGAAGAAGCAACTTTAGCAGCGAATGTTTTTCTTCTTTTGCCCCCAATAATTTATACAGTTCTTCAAAGCACCAAGGACGTTAAAAGCACTTAAATGTTGCTTTGTGTAAACCAACATTTCTGATGTGGTGTTGGTAATTCCCAAGATATGTGAACCATGATTAAAGGGCCTAACATTAATTTCATTTGGGTCGTTTTGTCTATAGTAAATCTTTAACACGTTTTTAGAGCCCTGTTAAATTTCTGATGTTTCTAATATTGAGACCTAAATTAACTACGTGAAGTCAGTTTACAAACCGGAAATATACAGCTTATGCCCTTTAATGAATGGAAACAACCTCAGAAGTCCTCAAAGCTTTCCACAAATGATGATCACATGTTAATGACATTTTGCAAATTATCAGGGCCCACACTGGCTTCCAACGGAGGAGCTTTTTGTTGGGTTAGTTGCTTGGTAATCTTTTAAAAAATAAGCAAATCTAAACATCTCTTAATGTTTTCTGTCTATCTTTGTCACCTGGAACTTAGAAAAGACTCATGCAGAGACAGTCGACGTTTTTTGGAAGAGCAATGATACCGCGATGTTTAATTTTAGCTCAGTTATCATGCTGTAGGCCAAAAACC